GTCTGCTCCGGTGCGCAGCTGGGAGCCAAGAAGAGCGGGAAATTTACCGGGGAAATGCGGAAGAAAAGCAGTCAGCCCTGGCGGGACGGCTCAGTTGGTTGGAGCATTGTCCCCGACGAGCCAAGGTTGTGGGTTGGATCTCCAGTCAGGGCACATTCAGGAATCAACCAGTGAATGCGTAAGCGGAACAACAAATCAATGTTTCTCTCTCTCTCTCCCTTCCTTCCACTCTATCTGAGAATCAATGGAAAAATATTCTCGAGGATTAAAAATAAATATCCAGTTAAAGCAACTGTCCCAGTAAACAGTGTTGTTGTGACAGCTAGAGGCACCCAAGTTCTGTAAGTTGCTTTTATTTTTATTTAAAAAATGAATCTTGCATATGTTTATATGCCAATATGTATAGCTCTCACTCATTCTTTTTTCTTTATTGATTTTAGAGAGGGAGGGAGAGGGAGAGAAGAGATGGAAACATCAATGAGAGAGAACATTGACTGGCCGCCTCCTGCATGCCCCCCACTGGGGATCGGCCCACAACCTGGGCATGTGCCCTGACGGAATCGAACCGGCGACCTCTTGGTGCATGGGTTGATGCTCAACCACTGAACCACACCTGCTGGGCTGTAAGTTGCTTTTAGATAAACCTTGCATTTCAGCATAGATCTAGATTTACAGAAAAGGGTACAGAGTTCCTGATGTCCCACATCTGGCTCCCGTTTCTACCCTATTATTATGGCATCTGTCGCAACAAGTAAACCGATGTTACTATCAGCAAAACTCCATAAGCTCGTTTTTACATTGGGTAATAGGAAATATTAATTACATTACATTCTAATAATTTTGTGTGTGTCGGGGGGAGAAGTTTAATAAAATGTGTTTAAAAGCCACTGCAGACCGCTCGCTGTTTACTCAGCACAGAAGCGAGAAAGGGATCTGCTAACTTCCTCTCCAGTGTGGCGGTGCCAGGGCCACTTGGGGACATGTGCACAGGCCCTTTGGTAAAGTCACCAACAAATGCAGTGGATAGTTGGGCAGGTTTGAGTGAAGGGGCCAAATGACATATTGAAGCCAACTCCCCCCTTTTCTGTTTACAAGGTCAAAATAAAGAACCCTTGTCCCCACGCCCCATCAGAACGAATTTGGAAGCTGCAAGTTCATGACAAACTGTGTCTCTGAAAAACAACAAAATACCAACCCAAATCTCCAGACAAAACCCCAGCTCAGCAGGCCTCTGGCAGCTGCGGGGAGGGGTCAGGGCCACAGAGCCCTGGCCGGGATGGCTGCTCTGTCCCCAACTTTGCTGTAAAATCAGCTTTGGAAACCATGTGCTTATGTCCACCTGTAGTTCTTCCTACATCGGGATGACAGCTGAGGGGGACTCAGCACGGCAGCTCTTGGGGGAGCTGAGCCATTGTGTGTAACTGAGATTAATATGGAAATACCCACTAGTATTAGAAGGAAGAGTTACATTCATTCCCTTAGAGAAATTATTTCTATAAAAGGCACCGAGCCCTGGCCGGGCGGCTCAGTTGGTTAGAGCATCACTCCATGCACCAAAACTTTTCGGGTTCAATTCCTGATCAGGGCACATACCTAGGTTGTGGGTTCCATCCCCGGTCAGGGTGCATATGGGAGGCAACCAATGGATGTTTCTTTCTCACATCAATGTTTCTCTCTTTCCCTTCCTCTCTCTAAAAATCAGTAAAAACACACCCTCAGCTTGCCCACCCAGTCACACAGGCTGCCTGATTCTGGCTAAGATGCCGCAGGCACTGAGGAAGCCCCTTCGTATGTGTACATGTTTTATAATTGTTATTATCTTTCTAATTTTTCACTGGAGGATATTTTCCTATTTATCATCAGACAGTGGGAGAAAGGAGGAGAGAGAGAAACATTGATGTGATAAAGCCACAATGACTGGCCACCTCCCACATGACCCAACCAGGGCTGGGGATGAACTGCCACCAGGGTACATGCCCTTGACCGGAACTGAACCTGCAACTCATGGGTCCGAAGGCCAACACTCTAACCGCTGAGCCAAACCGGCCAGGGCTGTACACTTACTAATTTCTACACGTGCTTCTAGCTAAGCACCAGTTTAACTCAGTCACGTAGGGAAAACACAGGACACAGAAACGCTGCTACACTCGGAAATCTTCAACTCAGATCTTTCCTGATACTTCAAAAATTGAATGACTTTTAGTTAAAAAAACCAAACAAAAAACAATGACACCCAAACACCAGAAAACTCTTTCCACTTTCAGAATCGAGGGGCGCAGTGCAAGGACCCCAGGAAGTCCTCACGCACCCCCTGGGCCGCCGGACTCCCTGGCGCACTGAACCAGCCTGTCACACCCGTCTGCTTTCTGAGTCCAGGGCACACAGCGACCGCCGTTTCTGCCCCAGGGGGCCGCTATCTTCGACCTCGAATGTGCTTTTTCTGGGCAGCAAGAGCAGTTCTGAAAGCTGGAGATCCCCCAAACCCCAGAACTTGCCTGGGGAAACCAGCGGTCTGCCCTCCGAGCTGCTGGTCCATGACCAGCTCCGTGGCATTAATGGTCCTTACTTGGTCTGGGGGACAGAACAAGTATCCCAAGAGCCAGGGCCATCCCTGCCGCCCACAGCCTGAGCACAACCCAGACTGGAGCCTCCCTCTCTGCGGCGGAGGTGGTGGCCTTGGCCGTGACCTCGCCCCACCCCCACCCCACGCGCCTCCTGCTGCGGGATCACCCGAGTGGGCTCAGGAGAAACAAGGTCTCTGAACATGGGTGACCCTCACTCTGCAACCTGGGCCGGGCAAGGCAGGGGCTGCGACAGGCTTCTGGGGGCGCCCGCGCTTCCTGTCTGAGCCCTTGCTCTGAGGTTCTAGAACCTTCTCTCCTCGAGCTCGTCTCCTCTTCAAATCTCTTGCCTTCCGGGGGACACTGTCACACCGCACCCGGCACCCCACCCCATGAGCCCAGGACCCTCCTGGAGCGAGCGCTGCCCCTCGCTGGCTCTTCCCCGACCCTGCACGTAGAGTAAAGACAAGACAGGCTGGAGTCTAGTTCAAAGGCTGGTTATCTTTTTTGGTTTCTTTTTTTTTGCTTTTGTAAAGAAAAATAAGGTTGTGATTTTGTTTGAGAGGAGACGTTGACCCCTCCTTGCCCGGGCTCTGGGCTCTGTGGGGTGAGGCCCGTCCGGGAGGGGCCGCGCCTGGGGGGGCTCTCTGTACCGGGCTTCCTCAGAGCCAGAGAGGAAGTGCATTTGAGAACAGAGTTTGGCTTTATTAGGCAAAAAAATAAAATTAAAAACTCGACACACATGCCCATTATATAAATGGGGGCCAAGAAACACCATCTCGGAGTTGGAACCATCCCGGGCAGGTGGACTCAGGGTGTGCCCCCATTCCCCATGTTCTGGAGGAGACGGGGCAGGGACAGTAGCTCTCGGGACAGGAGTGGGGGGAAGAAGAGAGGGAAGTCAGAGCAATCTCCTTCCCCATGTGGTAAAAAAAATTACTAAAAAAGCACCCAAAGCTTAAAAAAACAAACCCTCCCTAGCCGGGAGGATTGGGGACATCCTGCTTACCAGCAAAATGCCTCATCTGGCAGAAACGTGTAGAAAAATAAAATTAAACTTTATCCCTGAATGACAGAGTGAAGACCCTTCCTCCTGCCCTCATGAGCCCCCCAAGCCTCAGAATTCATCGAGGCAGCCAATTCCGCCCCAGGCGGCACAAACGGGCTGTCACACACGAGCACACACTTGCACAAGTATGCACACATGAGCACACACATGCACTGCAGCACATGCATGAGCACACATGTGCAGCGACACATGCACAGCCACAATGCATGACCACACAGTGCACTGCCACACACACGCAAGCACCCACATGTGTAGTGACACACATGCACGGCCACACACACAGCCACACACTTGCACAAACATGCACATACATGTGCAGCAACACACATGCACAGCCACACAATGCGTGACCACACAGTGCACTGCCACACAGCCACCCACTTGTACAAACATGCACATGCATGAGCACACAGGTGCAGCAACACACATGCACAGCCACACAATGCATGACCACAGAGTGCACTGCCACACATGCATGGCCACACACTTGCACAAACATGCACATACATGTGCAGTGGCATACACAAATATGCACATGCATGAGCACACACAGGTGCAGTGACACACATGTACGGCCACGCGCACACACGTTGCCCCACACCTTGGTCCAAGGCCCAGGGCAGCAGGGACGGGGTCTGACATCCACAGGCACACTGTCATTCCTCAGAGCATCGCGAGGGCCCCTGTGCCAGACTGAGGACCCTCCTTCCTCTTCCAGCCAGGACCAGACCCAGACGGGGGAGGGGGGGGCAAACCTGCAGTAGTGGCTGGAAGGGCGATGGCGGGATGGAGAGTAGATGGGAGGAAAGAAAGCCAGCCAAGGTGGCCTGACGACAGGAGGTCACACCCAGCCCATGGTGACAGCAGAGGGAGGACAGCGGGGTCTCAGCAGCTGAAAGGAGCCAGGGTCACGGCAGGGCAGGGTCCAGCGCCCCTGTGACCGGCGGGCTGCCCTGGGCCCACGGCATGATGGGGCCAAGGGCGGAGCAGGGCCCCGCGGGCAGCACGAGGGCCCTGGTCGTGTCCTCAGGTGACAGGGCTGCTGCCTGAGAGGCCACCGGAGGTAATGGAACAGGGTGCACTCAGGCAGAGGGAGTCTGGGGCGAGATGCTTACACTGGTCCTGAAGGCCCGGCTGGAATCCTGAGGTACCTGGGGCTAGGGATCCCCGACGCCCCTGCCCAGGGGGAGAGCCCAGGCAGACCTGGCTCAGGGCTGGGAAGAAGGGTAAAGATGGGGCAGAGGACGCTGGATCTTAGCGGCCTGCCCAGCGAAAAGTTAGTTTCCCTCCGGCAGGGTGGGGCGGCGGGTGACACCGGGACCATCCCTCTCGCCTCCCAGGGAGCCTGAGGCCCGGTGGGACGGGGAGCACAGTACGAGAGGTGGCCAGGGCCCGCAGCTCGGGTCAGGCGGCCGGCTCCTGCGGCAGGTTCAGTGGCGGTGGTGTCCCTGCAGGCAGGGCCGGACCCTGCAGCCCCTGGGGCTCCCGGCTGGCTTGGGGCAGCACCAAACACAATGATGGCAGCGAGATGGCGGGAGGAGCGGGACCTGGCGGACCCACAGCCCGCAGTCGCCGGCGGAGGAGAAGGCATCGAGGGCGGGCTCAGTCCCGGCTCCAGGCCCTGCGGAGGGCGGAGGCGGCAGTGGTGGCGCAGCAGGGACCTGCTCGCCCTCTGGACTCCCGGGCGCGGCACGGTCAGCGCAGGCTCTGGTACAGGTAGGCCGAGGTGAAGAGGGCGTTGGCAGTCAAGCTCACGGCCAGGAGGCCCTGGACCAGGGAGGGGCCGACACGACCTTTGAGGGAGTAGAGAGACCCAGTCAAAGGCGCGCAGGTCAGCAGACAGGTGGGGGTCTCACCAGAGGTGTAGCCATGGGGCCCCGGGGCCACACCCCTTCTCTTTCTGGCCCCAGGGGCCTCCCTACTTGTTGGACACTAACCCGGTCACCTGGTCAGTCCTGCCTCCCTGAAGGCACCTCTTTCCTGAGCCCGCACACAGGCAGGACTGGCCTGGGTGACCTGGGCCTGCACCTCGGGAGGGGGAGGGATGTGACCTCGCTTTACAGACAGGAAATGGGGCTTCGGTGGGACTAGAACCCTGACCAGGCCTCAGAGGTAAGCAGGCAAGTGGGGTTCCCCACCCCAGTCTGTGTTCAGGGGGTGACCTCAGTGCTACCAGGTCACAGCCCCAGATCCCACCTGACTTGGGGGCAGCACCCAATCTTTCCAGGAAACCCCGTGTCCATCTTCAACATACGTGTGCCCCGCTCCCAGGGGAGGGTCACGGGTGCGACACCCGAGTGCCCAGCAGGCTCACACAGACCCAGGGCCTGATCTCCCAGCGGCCCCGCAGCCCCGGACGGAGGCGGATCTGAACCCAGGCAGCCGAGTGCCCACCAGGCTCACACAGACCCAGGGCCTGATCTCCCAGCGGCCCCGCAGCCCCCGACGGAGGCGGATCTGAACCCAGGCAGCCGAGTGCCCAGCACAGCTGCAGCCCCTGCCGCCCCAGCAGGCCCAGGCTCTCCTGCAGCGCCCTCCCCGACTGCCTTGAAGGCGGTGTCAGCGGACCAGCCGCGGGACTGACCGCTTACTGTTACCTGTGACCACGTGACCGAGGCCACTGTAAGGGGAAGACGCAGACCCGCAGAGGCTGGGGTGCCCTCTGCTGAGCCACAGGCCGCACCAGAAGGCGCCGGTGGGTTACCTAACCGCCCTTCACCAGAGGGCCCCTCAAGGGGTCCTTCTCGGGCAGGGTCCCAGACAGAACGGGGGTGATGCAGCTGCAAACCCAAGGCCCCACGCTGCTCCGCCCTCTTCCCGAAACAAAGAGGGCGCAGACCTCTCCAGGCGGCGGCCTCCTCCGAACACCCCCGGGTGGTCGTGTCCACCGCGCAGGTGGACGACTGCGATGAGTCGTCCTCCTTCTTGATGGAGCGGCTGCTGCAGGCGCTGCGTCTCTCCGGCACGGACCTCATGTCTGCAGAGAGAAGGGCGTCGCGGTGGGTGCTCCCAGCTCACCCCAGGCCCAGGACAGCCCTCGCCCGCCTGCCCGCCCCGCTCCCCGTTCAGACCCCGGCTGCGAGCTGCCAGGAAGGGGGCTGGTTGCAGAGGAGCAGAGATGCCCGGCCAGCGGGTGCTGGTGGACGACAGCCATGGTAAGGCGTCCAGGTCAGTGGGGCAGGGAGTAGCCGACACCGGAAGGGGACCTCCACCTGCCCATCACCAGTCTGGCCAGGATTCAGGCCCAGGGTGGCCAGGTCGTCTGACATCGTAAGAGACAGAAATCTACATGTTCACGTGAGAATTCCAAATTTTCAAGGTTGAGGTCTAATTTAAAAAGCTTTAACTACTTTGCAGACCAACATTATTTCAGCAAAGCAAGAATATCTGTTACCAGATACCGCTTGTCAGGATGTAACACGTTTCGGATCCATCCCAAGGAACAGACAACCCTCAAGGTCAATTACACAATTGGACAATAAAAGCAGCCAACAGAGGGCATCGTCCTGGAGGGTCCAAGGCCATGAGAAGCCAGGCCAGGGGCTCCTGGGGCTTGGGAGAGCGGAGGCACACCCTCGGATAAGGTCAAGAATGGGCCCTGTGCAGCCTGACGGAGTCCCCGCCACCACACTGACCACAGACCACAGCGCGCCCCACAGCCCTGCTGGCAGAGGGTCGTACCCACAGTGTGCTTCGTGTCCTGCGCTGGCTGCCTCTGGGGGGGCTCGGTGCTGAAGTGGCTGCCGTTGGGAGGCAAGTGTCCATCTGAGCTGCTGGGGGTGCTGGGGGCCTCCCCGGGGGGCGACAGGAACAGCAGCAGCTTCTGCCCCCTCAGGTTGAGTCGGGCAGGGCTGATGAGGGGCCTGCGGTGGCGCAGAGAGCCAGAGCTGGAGGCCACCGAGCCGGCCACGGAGGGCGCTGGGGAAGGGAACGGAGAGGAGGGGCAGCTCCCCGACAGCAGGGAGAAGTAATCTGGAGGGTGGGAGGGTGACAAAAACAATGCCGATAGCGTGAACTGATGCAACGGTCACAGCCAGCTGGCCACAGCCACTCTGCCCGTTGGCCCAGGAAGAAAGGCTGCGGAGGGAGGGGGCCTCCCCGCCAGGACCCGAGGGAGGGAGAGGGCCACAGAACCTCAGCCATGCCCCTCTGCCTCCTGATCTCTACCCAAAGGCCCTGGTACCTCCCTCAGCTGACAGCAAGGTCGGGACAGAAACCAGCTCTTGAGACTTAAGGTCAGCCGGCTCACCCAAGACCTGCTGATGGCCATGTCCACTGGGGGTCACTGATGAGGACAGCACGACATCTAACCCTGGAAACTACCATGCTCGTTTCGCAGAAGTGGAAACGGAGGCAGAGGACTTAGTCACTTGCCAGGCTGCCCAGCTGAGACACAGACCCTCTGATGCCCGCGCTCACACTTAACCACCGGGGCCACATCCCCGTCACTCCACTTACCTGGAACAGGAGCCTCCCCAGATCGAGACATCTGAGACGGAGGGCGGCTCCCACTGAACAGATACCCTGAGTCTGCGGAGGGAGGGAAGGTGACACAGGTGAGGCCTGCAGAGAGACGGGCGCCCACCTCTCCAGCCCCGAGGCTGCTCTGCTGAATCCAATCTTTGTTGTTTACATCCTGCCTTCCAGCCCGAGGGCCGAGGGCCGAGGGCCCACAGACTGGTGGTTTGATTCCAGTCAAGGGCATGCACCTGGGCGCAGGTCAGGGTCATGTGGGAGGCAACCAATTGAAGTGTCTCTCTCATATCAATGTTTCTCTCTCTCTCCCTCTTTCTAAAAAAATCAATGAAAAAAATAGATAAAAAAAATAATAATAAAAGGTCAGGCCTGTGTGGTTCAGTGGTTGAGCGTCGATCCCTGCACCAAGAGGTCACCAGTTCGATTCCTGGTCAGGGCACACGCCCAAGTTGTGGGCCCGATCCCCAGTGGGGGGCATGCAGAAGGCAGCCAATTGATGTTCTCTCTCATCGATGTTTCTATCTCTCTCTCCCTCTCACTTCCTCTCTCTGTAAAATCAATAAAGGAGAAAAAAAAACATAAATAAAAAAAGAAAGAAAATGCCTATTGCCTTAAAAAATCAATGGAAAGTATCCTCGGGTGAGGAATAAGAAGGAATAAACAAGAAGCAGTCTACCACTCCCTCCAAGATGATCGGTGAAAGGCTCCAGCAGGGTCTACACCCATGTGGGCCCAAAGCTGCCGCACCCCTACCCGGAGGGCCTGGAACCCTGGCTCCTTCCTGGTGGGCAGCTCCAGACAACAGTCTTTTGGGGGAAGGGCCAGCTGCTAGGCCTCCCAGGTTCCCATGTCCAGGGCATCCCAGGGCCTGAACTGGGCGCGGTCTCAGCTGTGACAGGCACGCAGGGCCCAGGACCTCTGCTGGTTAATGGTTTCCTGGCAGGAGGGCAGGCGCAGCCCCTCCTCCTAGCGACCCGCCGCGTTTGGTTCCAGCGATGTCCAGTCTCGGTCTCTGTCCTCGGGGCGATCCCACCCGAAGGCCTCGAACTCTACCCACCTCAGCCCAAACGCTGTGTCCCCTGTGAGCGTCCTTCCTGCAGTGTGACCCACCTCTACCTACGAGGACGCCGCCTGCACCCAACAGGGTCGCCTCCTAGAGCAGCAGGTCCCCAGGCAAGTCACGAAAGAAACAGGCTGAGGGGTCTGACTGAGCTGGACCCCACCTGCGCTGCTGAAGGGCTGAAGTGACAGTTTGCGCGTGGGCAAGCTCTGTGCAGCCCAGAGGCGCCTGTGCTCTCGGAGGAAGGGGTCCGGCGAGGCCACCCCAAGGGTGAGGGGTGAGGCCCGCCCCGCCCGCCCCAGGCTTCCCTGGGGGAGGGCCAGCACAGAACAGGCGCAGAGCTCCGAGCAGGAAAAACCAGGTGGACTCACAGTCGCCCTCCCGGGGAGACGCGGTGGGGAAGCGTGACGAGTGGGACGGTCTCTCCTGACAAGGACCAGGTCTCGGTCACCTCAGGGTCCACGTGCAGCACGTAGTCAGTATGCCTGACCTGAACTGAATCCTGCCCTCCGGACCACACAGGAAGGCCAGGGGCAAATGCCCCGGCCCCCAGGTCTGAAAACAGCAGCAGTAACAGCAAGAATGGCGACAGAAGGACACCCCAAGGGCATGAACGTGCCCTACTGCTGCTGGATGCCACTGCCCTTGGGAGCCCTTGAAATGCATCCTCAGCCCTGGCCGGTTCGGCTCAGCGGTTGGAGCGTCCGCCTGCGGTCCAGAGAGACCCGGGTTTGGTTTCTTTTTTTTGTTGTTTTTTTTTAATCCTCACCCGAGGACATTTTCCCATTTTTTTGTTCAGGTAGAGTGGGAGAGAGAGAGAGGAAGAGAGAGAGAGAGAGAAACATCGATGTGAAAGGAACACATCGAGTGGCCGCCACCCACACGACCGACCAGGGCCGGGGACAAACTGCAACTGAGGTACGCACCCCCAGCGGGAACCGAACCCAGGCCTCTCAGGACCGCAGGTCGACGCTCTAACTGCTGAGCCAAACTGGCCAGGGCCGGGTTTGGTTTCTGCTAAGGGCATGTACCTCGGTTGCAGTTTGTCCCCAGCCCCGGTTGGGGTCGTGTGGGTGGCAGCCACTCAATGTGTCTCTCTCACATCGATGTTTCTCTCTCTCTCTTCCTCCCTCTCTATCTGAAGATAAATGCAAAAACATCCTGGGGTGAGGATTGAAAAATAAAAATAAAGAAACACATCCTTTCGCTTTACCACCACCACCACCGCCAGGCAGGCGCTACTACTGGTCTTATTTTTCTTGAGGGAAACTGAGGCTCAGAGTGGTTAAGTCTCTTGGTGAAAGGCAGCTACTCAGTGGGCACAGCAGGACTTGAACCCAATTCTTCCAGCTTGTACGCAGCTGGAGTCCCTGTGCCCAGCTGCCCGTCGCGCCCAGTGCCTCTTACCTGCTCGGGTCAGAGAGGGGATGGTTCCCAGCGAGAGGGCCCGGCTGAGGCGGCCTGGCAGCGAGGAGGGCGAGGCCCGTCGGGGAGACCGGAACAGTTGCTGGTTGGCGAGGGGCAGGAAGCCAGGTGACGTGGGGAGGAAGAGAGATGGCGAAGAGCCTGTGCCGCTCGGGCAGGGCATGGCCAGGCTGGGGCACGCGGGGAAAAGGCCGGCAGAGTCTCCAGAGAGGAACCTACAAGAGCCGTGGGCGGGGAGAGAGGGTCAGCCCGGGGCTCTGGAGGCGCCTCGGCCAGCTGCTCCCTCTCCCTGGTCCAAGGTGGGGCCTGAGTCGGGGTCCTGGAGGAGGCGTGCGTTAGTTCAAGCGGAAAAGCAGTCGGACCACATTCACACCATTAGGATGGGGTGGCTGGGAGGTGCCAGCGTGACCCACCCCTCCCTGCATGCCCCCTCCGTTCCCCCTCAGCGTCACAGCAAACTAATTCCACTAAGAATCTCGATATTAAAGTGACACTGTCGCCCTTGCCAACCTCACGCCAACCCTTCGCCTTGAAGCCAAAACGTCCAGCCTTGCGCCAGGCTTTCAGTGACGGCCGTGGGCTCCTTGTTCTTCCTGCTCGTGCCCAGAGCCTCCTGACAGCAGCCAAGCTCGGGGGCCCTGCTCCCCGGGGCCCGACTGCTGCTCTCTGGCCTGACACTGGACACTGAGCTAAAGCCCCTTGCAGAGCAGGGGATGGCGGGCAGCCAGGGTTAGGATCCCCAGGAAGAGACACACAGGACACAAGCCAAACTCAAACTTAGGAAAGACCCGTAAGTGACCGCAAGGCTGCCCAAAAGACAGAAGGTGACAGTGTCTCTTTAACTCGAGAATGGTACAAGTCACACAACAGGACCCGGTGGCCCAAGCCAGACTGTCAACCATGCTTCTGATTAAGGCAACCGATTACAGAGGAGGAAGGACAGAGACAGTTAATACATTAGTCTGCCCACTGTCTGGATGGAGTTGCGGGAGGTCCAGCCTTACCTCGGTCCCAAGGGACAAATGAGCCCATGGACTATGTGCCGATGGACGGGCAGGCTGGCTGAGACCCTGCAGCAGAGCCGGGCGGCCAAGGAACCCACCAGGCCCCTCACAACCAAACGCCCAGGGCACGGCCAGTCAAGCTGCACTTTGATGAGTTCCTCGCTATTTTTCACCCCTCCCTTTAAACAATCTTTGAGCCCTGGCCGGTTTGGCTCAGCGGTTAGAGCGTTGGCCTGTGGTCCAGAGAGACCCAGTTCGGTTCCCACTAAGGGCATGTACCTTGGTTGCAGTTTGTCCCCGGCCCTGATTGGATTGTGCGGGTGGCAGCCACTCGATGTCTCCCTTTCACGTCGATGCTTCTCTCTCTCTCTCTCTCCCCCTCCCACTCTATCTGAACAAAAAAATGGAAAAATGCCCTCGGGTGAGGATAAAAACAAAACAAAACAATCTTTAAGGACAGTGCAGGGTCAGAGTTGTCCTCCTGCAGACCATGTGACCTCTTTAATGCCTTCCAAAAGGCCAGCAGCCCATCAGGATTTCAGAACCAAAGGCGGGCTGGTGTTTGGAGAACGTGGAGAAAAGGGAGGAGCTCACCAGGCCAAGCTGCAGAAGGGTCTGATCAACCTGGCTGGCCCCAGGCTGCACGTGCCCGAACCCCACCTGCTGACCTGTTCTGAAGCCCGAGACACCGGGGGAAGGCTCCACCCCGAAGAGAAGCTACGGTTTCCTGCCGTCATCTCTGAACTGCGCAACCATTCGGCAGGAGGGTCGCTCCGGGCGAGCAGAGGCAGTAAGGGCTCGAGGGGCCTCTGGCCAACTTGCTCCGATCACACACAAAGCTGTGCCCTGCTGGGGCCTGCCTCCCAGGGGACCCAGGTCTGCCTGCACCCAGGCCCTTCCAGCAGACAGCAGCAGGACTCTGCCAGGAACTCCTGCGCCACCCCCACCAGGCAAGCGGGTGACAGGGAGGGTCCAAGCCAGGCTGCAGGTTTCAGAGGTGGTCAGCTGGCCCAGGACAAGCTGGGTCTTGCCAGCACTTTCCCCGATCCTGCTCACACCTGGGGCCTCCCCCATGCTGTCCTGTCTCTGATTATACTAAAAACCTTGGCACTGAGGCGGAGACAGTTCTTTGGTCTGACCCCTCTTGCTGTGACACCCAATGACACCATTCAATTAGTGAACCCTTGTAAGGTGCCAAGTGTGAGACCAGCTCCGCAGAGCCTCCTGTCAAAGGGGCCCCGTCTTCGCTGGCCCCCGAGAACCGCGCTCCCTTCGGCAAGGCCCCCAGACCACCCTGCGCTCTGGAACGGCCTCAAATAGGCCAGAACCCACGCCTGCACGTCACGGGGATAAAGGGGTCTGAGGAAGGGCCGGTGCTTGCAGTGTCCTGACACTGAGGGACGTGTTTCCACCCAGTCCCAGCCAGAGCCAGCAGCGGAAGGCGCAAGGAGGTCCTAAGCAGCAGTTTGCTGAGACCGGGAATCCCACCCAGCAGGGCACGCGAGGACAGCCGGCCCCGTGCCGGTCCACGCCCCTGCCACCAGCTCCCAAACCTGACCCTGCAGGCATGCCTGTCCCCCAGTCCCCACCCCTGGCACAGAAGCCTCGGAAAGAACGTGAAAGAAAAAACAAAAAAGACATGGCACCTGACGCCCATGGCCAGAGCAGGGCCTGGAGGCATTTATTTGAGATACAACATCAAACACACAGCGTCTACGGCGGGAGCTGCGTTACAGTGATTCGAGGGTCACTAGACAATCATCTGCAGTTCTACTACATGGCCAGAGAGACGACGAGACACGCGACAGTCAAACAGGGATACGGGTCCCCTAGGCCCAGAGGGAGAGAAGACAGCCACGTGCACCTCCCCCAGGTCTTGGCGACACAGGTCCGTGGCAGGGGTGACACGTTCCCAGTTAATCAACCACGATCCCAGTATTCCAGCACTTCCTCAGCTGTTGCCAGTAATGTCAGAAGGTGCTGGAGGATGTTCCAAGGAATGAAACTTTAAGGGACAGATAGGTGACTCAGAGAGTCACACAGAACTCTAAAAGGGCAGGAAGCCTTCCTCTATGAGGCTCATTTCATGAGGGTGTCTTCCCATCCCCACCAGGGGGTGAGGACAGACATCTGCTCCGCAGGGCTCCGGCCAGCTATCATAAATAATCTAACTTAAATACACACACACAGATGTCCTGCTTCTACTCAACACCAAGAAAAGCAGTAATTAGCCACAGGCCGTCAGCTTCCTGCAACAGGAGGCTCCAGACGCAAGGGCACGCACACCGCCTAGCCGACAGACCCCTGGCTCTCCACCAGCAGGCCGGCTGGGGTGAAGGGACAGGCGACGGGCCAGCAGGGCTAGGACCTGGCTCGGCCACCCCACTCCTCCTCCCGTCTTCTCAGGATGTCTTCACCTCACCTCACACAGAACAAGCAGGCAGGGCCTTGTCTGAGACCACAGGGCCAATGGGGAGCAGCTCCCGACCCCCCAGGCTCTTCGCACACATATGTGGAAAGAGGCAGTCTCTAGGGTCCGCGAACACGAGGATTAGTGACAGTGGGGCTCCACTACAACTCCTGTGCTCTCTGGGCCCGCACCCGGGGTCTGGCTGGGGCCTGTCCCAGCTGCCCTGCAGGCTCAGTCGGTGGCCCCTAGCTCAGTGTGCCCTCAAGCACCTGCCATCTGCTCTGGCCTTCGACTGTGGAGTGGAGGGAGGCCCCTGGAGCAGCGGCTCTGGGAGGCAGCCCCTCGGGGGCTCTAGGCTGGCACGGGCCATGGGGCTCCTACCTGACCCAGGGAGGCCCCTGTGGGCTCTGTGGCTGCCCCACTGCAAAGCAGAAAGTAGAAGCCTGAGCACCCTCAGTGAGGGATGCCAGGGGCTGGAAGAACAGTGACAGGCCAGAGTGACAAAGTGACAAACGACCTGGTGTCCTCATGGACCTCATGTCCCTTGGGCTGCTTACCCTGTGCTAACCTTGGGCAACCAGATATTTTCCCAGGTGTCATCCGGAGGGTGGGTGGAGAGCTGGGGACATCCCAGGCATTGGGGCGGTGGCTCAGGCTCTGCACTGCCGGCCAGTCGGGGCAGCCTGAACCCCAGTTCCTGCAGGGGCTTGGGGAAGGCCCAGCCATGAGGATTGGGGTCCTGACCTTCCAGGGCAGAGCCAGGGGCTTCCAGAAACCGGGCAGGGCATGTGTGTCCTGTTCTGTCTGGCCCACAGTCATGCCAAATAAATAGATGAACACAGGACTCTTCAGACTCCCCAGCCTGGGCCAACTCCCACCATGGCCTGGCAGTTAGGAAACCCGCTGACCACAGCAGAAAAGGACTTTCCACTGTTCACTGTAAGAGCCTCGCCCTACAAACTCGTGGTCAAGGCCAGCTGGGCACAAGAACTGCACCCTCCACTCCCAAGGAAGGAGGCTGCGGGGTCACAGGGGTCTCAGGAAGGTCTTGGAGTGGATGGAGCAGTGGGCCCAGGGGGCAGCCCAGACTCCTGGTCCCACCAGCTTCAAGCGGGGCTGGCGGGCACTGGGCAGGACCAAAGGGACAGACCAGAGAAGTGATGTGGGGACGCGGTGCAGGGCTCTCCTCTGGGCCCCGCTCAGCAGTACCTGCCCATATCAAGTTCCCCAAGTGGTCAGGCCACGTGGCAAGGGCCCAGCTTGCGGCCATCATCACCAGGCCATGCCAGGAGCTCAGACGAGTCACAGGCAGGCTGTGTGGGTGTTGTCCGTGTTCTGGCCTTGGGACAATGAGGGGGTCTTTGGCCAGATAGACGGTGGCAGTGGTGAGCAGCTAAAGGGCCCCCGGGGGCACCCCAGGTTGGGGATGACTTCCTGGTGTGGAATGGGAAGGGGAGAGGGGCAGGCCCGACTCCTCAGGGAAGTGAAGGGCTGGGCCCGGACGGGGGTGAGAGTGAGGCAGGAAGAAAGATGCAAGACAGAGAAGTGCCCTGCTCCGGGCTGGGGCAAAGCTCTGGGGCTGTCCGTCCGTCTGTCCTCCCCCCGCATCACTGCTGCTTCTCTGACCTTCGGGGCCGGAACCTCCGTGGGCCCGTCGTCTTCCTCGTGGCCACAGCTGCCGTGAAGCCCACCAGGCAGCACAGGGACATGGTGCTGAACTTGAGCGTGTCCAGCCAGCTGGGCGAGGCAGCCTGCAGGTACTGCTCGGCCAGGTGCAGCCCCAGCAGCAGGGCCCACAAGCAGGTGGCGAAGGCGTCGATCCTCCGGAGCCTGAGAGAAAAGCAGGGGTTGTGGGAGGGCCCATCTCAGCGGGGCAAGTCCCCTCCTCATGCTGCCCCGGCCTGCCTCCTTCATCCACCGGCCCCGCCCCGAGGACACAACCCAGGGCCAAGAAGAGCGCGGGCCTCTCAATCCGCCTCCAACACGTACACGCTGCACGACTCCGAGCAGGTGTTTGTCCTGAGCTCAGGGTTCTAGCCTGTAAAACGGGGCTAAGCAACCTCCCCGTCACTGAGATGATGCGGACACCGTTCAGAACAGGGTATGCAACTGCAGGGGGTGGGAGATCAAGGGCCCAAGAGCCCCCCGCCTCTCCAGCGGCCCATTAGGTGGGGGTGGTTATCGGGAACCTGAGGTGGAGAGAAGCGGTGACTCGGCCCCGGGGCCCCGGCACAGAGCAGAAAGTGGAGGGCCTGCTGTGAGTGCCGCTGCCCTGTGAGGCAAGTCGTTTGCTCCGTCTCGCCCACTGGGCTCCCAGCTGCTGGGAAGAGGGGCACATGCTTCAGGACACGAAGCTGAGTCGAGGGCGGCGTGCCCAGCAAGCCCTCCTGGCTCCAGCACCAGCCCTTCCCTCCCCAGCCGCGCCCGAGGCAGGAACCAGCGATCCAGAGCAGACGGGGCCCACACGCACCTGATGCGGCCGGCCAGCAGCATGGCCAGCAGGCAGGTGAGCAGGCCCAGCACGACGATGCCCATCTGGTGGCCCCGCCCGAAGGCCCAGGCTTCCCATAGCTTCTCTGTCACATGCTCCGGGAGCAGGCCCAGCAGCACACGCCAGCCCTCAGCCCCAGGGGCTGTGCTGTTGTCAGAAGCAGCTGAGCCATTGCCGCCAGGGGGCAAAGCTGGAGGCAGGGTAACTCCCGGGGCAAAGGGGTCACTGGTGCCATACAGTGTGGTAGCCAGCAGGAAGGCACAGGCCAGGAAGGCGAGGGCACGGAGCACGATGACCTGGGCTGGAGCCTTCACAGCAGATGAGCAGAAGCTCTGGGGGAGGGAGAGACTGGTCAGCGAGATGGCAAGAGCCACCAAGAGCCATTCTGGTGCCCACTCTATGCTCTGGGGTCTGGCCAGGGCCCCAGAGCATGCACTGAAGAAGCCACCCAGTCCCGATCAGCAGAGACGCCTTTACAGTGCTCAAAACTCGGGCCTGGCCAGTGTGGCTCAGTGGTTGAGCGTCGACCCTGCACCAAGAGGCTGCCGGGTCGATTACCAGTCAGGGCACATGCCCAGGTTGCGGGCCTGATCCCCAGTGGGGGGCATGCAGGAGGCGGCCAATCGATGTTTCTCTCTCTCTCTCTCCCTCTCCCTTCTTCTCTAAAATCAATAAAGAAAAAACAAAAACAAAACTCAGCTGTCCCTAGGCTTACTGCTGAGCTCCGCTGACCCGTCCCATCTCTGGGTCTTCACCCCACTACGAAAGTTACTATGTGGGGGAGTTCACTACATTCTTAAAGAAATCTTGTTGATATTATGGTGACTTTATTCTTTCAAGTAAGTTTTTTGGTAATTTTGCCAAATTCTCACCATAGCTTCCCCTTCTGTGACTTCTACTGGAATTATAATAAACATATACATGACTCCGGCCAAAGTGAAGTTAAAAAGACGGCACCGGGTTGTTCAGCCTGGGAGCACGTGAAGAGGAGAGCCACGGGTCTGAGCGTCCCGCGCAAACACGGCCTGCAGGCGGGCGGCGTGGCGGTGTGGCAGGGGCGTGGCTGCAGACGGAAACCACACGCCAATTGGATACAGGGCACATCTGGAGACCTGAGGGTGTGGGTAGAAATTTCCTTGGGGGGTGGGGGGGATGGCTTTTATGTCTAAATTCACTTGCTACTATATCAGATTTGAAAAACCAGAACATTCCACTAACTAAATGCTGATGAAAAACTAACGCGTTTTAGCCAAAGGGTCCTGGGTTTAAATCCCTGTGCCTCGGCACAGCGGGCGTGGGGTGTGGGGCCCTCTGTCAGTCACCTAGCCTCCTGCGTGGTTTCCTTTTCTTTTCTTTTTAAATCCTCACCCAAGGACATCTTTGCATTTATCTTCAGATAGAGTGGGAGGAAGAGAGAGAGAGAAACATCAATGTGAGAGAGACATACTGACTGGCTGCCACCCACACGACCCCAACCAGGGCCGGGGACAAACTGCAACCGAGGTACATGCCCTTAGCGGGAACCGAACCCGGCACTCTGGTCCCCGGGCCGACGCTCTAACCGCTGAGCCACACCGGCCGGGGCCCTCCCGCGTGCTCTCTGTGGCTGTGAGTGGGAGAGACAGAGCCGAAGAGCATGGCCGCCGCGCGGTGCTGTGGGAACCCATGACGGGTGTGGGAGGTGCCAACACTGCAGGGCACCTCCAGACCATCAAATGCGCCAATGACGGTGGGCCCCAATACTGAGCCACTCTTCTCAGGACACTGCTCCAGCTGCTGATACAACGAGGCTTGGGACAGGGTGGAAAGGTGGCCCCTTGGGAAGGTTGTCCCCCAGGGAGAAGAGTCTCAGCTCTGGAGAGCTGCCCTCCAGTCAGTGGTGCCCAGCCCTCCGTGAGGGGGTATCCTGCACAAGCCCAAGGGCTGACGCCCCACATGCTCCTGGGCGCCATGCTCAGACCTGTGTGTGGCTCTGGTCGGCCTCCCGGCGCTTGAACTGGTGGCTGAGCAGCAGGGCACGCAACTGGCGGTTCTGGTGCTTGATGTAGTGCTCCACGGCCGCCTGGCACGGCCGGCACAGCTTGTACATCTGCTCCAGGTGGTGGCGGTACACCTCGACCTCCTCGTCGTACCTGCCCTGCGGGGTCGGGGGCAGAGGCTCAGGCCCTTGGGTCCACTGAGGCTGCCGCCTAGTGGCTTGAACCTGAGTTCACTCACAAGTGGAGTGACCGTGGGTCATTGTCCCCACTCTGATCTGCTTCCTCTGCTGCCCAACAGGACAAAGCGCATGGAGGCAGTGACCAGGGATGGTGACCGGGAACAAGGGCTAGCCCAGAGCTCAGGATGCAGCAGGGACCCGCAGGTGATGTGAGACACTCTGGCCAAGTTCTATTACTCCAGAGGATGTCCCTGGAGGCCCGGAGTTCTCAGCGGGGCCCCTGCTTCAGGCCCTGCTCCTGGACTCAAGCTCCAGGAAGGTGGTGAGCCACGGGAGAAGCTGGTTCTGGACTCGAGTAGACAGACACCCCAGAGGCAGGGCCTCCCCTCCTGTAAACCCTGGGTCCAGAAGGCACTAGAGGGCCCCTGGCTCGGCTTAGTGGGAGCTGTAGGGTCCTTGGGGCTTCAGGAATAGCCGGAAGACTGAGTGCAACCCCTCCTTTCCTCCTAAGGATGCAGAGACGCCCCTCTCCCTCCCCATTTCCAGGGCGCCAACACCTGCCTGTAGAGGCCAGCAGGGCTATCAGTTTGATCTTACCTTGCTGGGACCAAACTCACAGAAAAGCTACCCCGGTTGCCAAATCACACAAGCCTCCTCCTTTCTGCAGACGCCCCACCCTCCCTGCCCGAGATCCCGGTTTTCCTCCCTCTCACTCCCCGCCCCCGGAAGGGTCTTGGGAAAGCCAGCGTCTCTGGGCCTCAGCTCCTGAAGTCACAACCACTGGCCACAGGGTACAGAGGCAGGACTGGCTAGATGACAAGGCTGCCGGGCTCCACTGCAGGCCCAGGGAGGTGGACTCCTGACACCCAGCCTCTCAGCAGCACCCTGCTCTGCTCCCCTCCCAGAAGCCAGGGGCTTCCTCCACCACCTGCAGAACCAAGCGTCTGGCCAGCTGTGGACAAGCCTGACTCAGAGGCACACAGGTGATGGATGTGACAAGGCCCAGGCGGAACGACCTGCCCCTGCCCAGGGACAAACCCCTCCGGACCGGCAGGCACCAGGTTTCTACGATGTTCCCAGGCTTAGAGCCAAGAGAGCAGGAACCACGGAGGGGGAACAGAGCACACCCCGGCGAGATGAAAGATGACACCCCCGGAATGCTGGGCCCGCATGGGTCAGGGTGGGAGGGGACCCCGCGGGCACTGTCTGGAGAGCCCTGGGCGCGCCTCCTCCAGGCTGCTCTGAGGCACCCCAGCCCGTCCTCGCCCCTCCCTGTCCCGGCCTCACCTCGTCCCGAGGCGAGAAGGCAGCCAGCTGCTTGATCTTGGTGGTCTGGTGGTGGCTGCACCTCCTGCACAGCAGCACCTGGCTGCTCACCCACTGCTGGGGCTGCGCGGGGGTGCGGGGGCTCGGCACGCTGCTCACCACATGGTTCAGGTGCTCCAGGTACTGGGCGGGGATCGGCTTGTTGTAGTCACCATTCTGGGGGAGAAGGGATAGTCAGCAGAGGAGCCCCAACCCAACGTGCGAGTCTCCACAGCGGCCGGAGCGGGCTCCGCGCGAGGACAGAGGCCACAGCTTTCCCTCCGCAGACACCTCACAAGGAAGCCCGGTGGGCACGCTGCCGAGGGCACGGCCCCCAGGGGGCGTCTGGTGCAGGGCTGTGCACCACGTTTATAACTGCGGTGGCTGGGCAGAGCTGAGGCGTGGGCACAGCGTGGTCTGCAGAGCCCGCAGACCCCTGGTCTAGTGCAAGGCAGAGAGTGGGCGTGGGCCAGAAAGATCCAGGCTGAACCCAACCTGCCAACTCTAGTCCCCCGGTCCCCTGGGCCTGTTTCCTTCTCAGAGGAGGGGCGCAGGGTCAGGGCTGTGCTGAGGGTGGGACGGGGTGGGACGAAGGCCTGCGGCCCGGGCGCACCTCCTGGAAGCCATTGTACTGCTCGCAGTGGGGGCAGTCCCAGCAGTTTCGGTTCCCGTAGGGCACCACTGTGTCCTGGTCGCAGAACCAGCAGTTGACCGTGGTGTGTGTCGGCTTCGTCCTGTGCACAGGGAAGAGGAGAGTCAGAGGAAGCCCCTGCCCCTGTGCATGAAGGAGAACATGGAAGGGGGTGGGAGGCAGGACCAGGCAGAGCCCCGCCCCCCAGGTATCCCAGGGCCCAGCCAGACCCGACACCCACCCTGAGAGGCCTGTTCAGGCTGCGGAAAAGGCGCTCCCAGGGAGCCTCCACCCGGAAGAAGCCTCCCGCGCTGCACAGAAGAAAAGTCTCCAAGGAATGGGGCCAAGCAGGCGAAGGGGCGGGGACCAGAGACAGCTGCTGGGCCTGCGGCCAACCCTCCCTAGTGGAGGGAACAGAGCCATCAGGCCACAGTGGCATTCCTGGCCACACGTGTGGTGACAAGTGGGGTCTGCAGGCTAATCCCAGCCCAGACACCAGGAGAGCTGTGCTCTGGGCCCTCCAGTCACCTCGAGGGCTGTGGGTGTGGCAGGGTGTGCGCAGCAACTGCCTAGCAGAGCCCTCCAGCCCTGGGGGTCTAGGCACATGTGGGTGATGGGAGGCAGCTGCTTGAGCCTTGGGGTCCTGGCCAGGCCACCACCAGCTGTGGGGGTGCCGCTTGGACCCTGCTACAGTGGGCAGCCACACCACAAAGGTGGCCCCCCAGCTTCCAGGAGCCAGAGGCCCCAGCTCTGCCCACTTCTAGATATCAGTCCCCGGGAGCGCCTCCTATCCCTTTAGGGCCTGTGGGTCGCGACCCCTTTGGGGGTCAAATGACCCTTTCACAGGGGTCACCTAAGACATAACAGTAGCAAAATTACAGTTATGAAGTAGCAACAAAAATAATTTTATGGTGGGGGTCCCACAACATGAGGAGCTGCATTAAAGGGTCGCGGCCTCAGGAAGGTTGAGACCCACTGCTCCAGGCCCTCTGTCCGTCCTTCCCGCCCGACTACCTAGAGCCACATTTGCAAAGTGCGAGAGCACGCGCCCAGGCTATCTGTGCCTCACAAGGATCCAATGACACAAGACACACAAAGGTGCTCTGCCGTAAAGGGCCAGCTCTGTCACTATCCTGTCCCTGTGAGCAGGGCTCCCACTCCGGACAGCGCAGCTGCCTCCTGCCCGCCCCCACCGACCGCGGCAGGCTAGCAGAGCTCCCCAGTGCTCACCACTTGTTACCTGGGGACGAGAACGACTCCTCACAGGGCACTGTGCGTAGGGGTGCTTAGCAGTGCCTGGCCAAAATGTCCCAGAAATGCAGTTACATGCGGTGGGCGGAGGAGGCTCAGGAAAGTGCTCTCCCCCAAATCCTCTCAACCTACTTCTTCCCCCAAGCCAGAGATGGACAGAGGAGACGAAAGCAGGCTCCGCAGGGAAGGGCCAGGGTCCAGAGGGCACCCGGATTGCCCCATGCAGCCACAGCCCCACAACCCCTGCCCCAGCTCTGGCCAAAGCCCTCACAATGGACAAAGGACTGTCATGTCACAACTTGTCAACAACAGAGGCAGGGCCTGGAAAGAGCAGCATGTGGTCACAGGCATGGCCTTCGGAGAAAGTCATTCTGCCTCCAGAAACCTCCACTTCTCTTGCTCGTCTGGCCAGTGGGGATCACGACAATGCCGCCCCAGAGAGCTAAGAGGATCCAGCAACGCTCAGCACTGACACCTCACTGTGCTTCCTGCACAGAGCACGGAGGAGCAGCCCTGGCTGGAGGTGTGGCCGCCGCCCCACTCGGAGATGCCAGCACGTGGCGCCGCTGGGCAATGAAGCACCCGGCTTTCACTTGATTAATCAGCACCTGCTTTCCAGGCTTCTCTGTAACTGCACAGGGCGTGTCCCGGGGGGATGATGCCTAGGTGACCTCTCTCATCGGCCCCCTGGGGCCCTCCAGCCCTTTCACCCCAGAACCCCACCACGCCACATCTGGACTGAAGCCAAGCAGAGGAGCTGGCAGCCCATGAATAAAGAGAGGGATGGGGAAGGGGACAAAGACGCCAGCCCAGGGGACTACGGCTGATGCGCAGGAACTGCAGCCTCCGTCCTGAGAACCAGCCTCGAAGCCCCTCCCATCCCAGAAGTCATCATTTCCACTGGGAGTCCCGTTGCTAGGGAAATGAGCCTGGCCTGGAAGCTGGTGGCAGGAAGGGGAGGAGGATTAGCCCAAGTCCCTGGGGCGCGCAGCTCCAGCTCCTGTCACTCTCAGCCCTTGGTAATCCCTGCCCAGGTGAGTGGGGGAGGGTCCTCTCTCATGGTCAGGCGGGGGTCACAGGTCCATGAGTGGCAGATGGGCTAGCAAAGCAGTGGGAGCTGGGCTGAATCTCTGCCCCCACGCACCAGTCTGGGCCTCCCATACGTTTGACACGTGGGCGATTGTGAATTGTGTCCGGGGCTCCACTCGACAGACCATTTCACAGCTTGTCCGGTTTCCATGCTGGTCCTGTGGTCCTGGTCTCTGGGCTACACCCACCTCCACCTGACCCGAGGGAGCAACGTTTGGGTCCATCTATTCCAAGCCAGCATAGCCCCGGCCCCACTCTTGCTCAGGGAAATGCCCCCAGCTCCCCCCAACCCACCTCTCCCCAAGCAAAAACCTCTGCCCAGCAAGGCTCTGGGACCAACCACTCTTGGTGGAGAAGGTCCGATGTGACAGGACAGAATGTCCCTCCCTGTTCGCCTCAGGAGGCAGCATCGGCCCCAGCAGATGGGCAGACAGGAGCCACTCAGCTCCCACCACACCACCCTTGTGCTGAGCTCTTGGCTCTCCTGCGGCCAGAGGGGCCTGAGCAGCTGAGCGCAGGCGTCCCTCGGGAGGAGCAGTGTGCTGGACTGTCCCGGACAAGCCGGCACACACACCAGGGAAAAAGCTAACATATGCCCTCAACAGCAGTACCACCCCATCAGTCCATCAGCCCCGAACACAGATGTTCAGTTAAAACAAAGCCCATGTTCTGACATCCCACAGCTCCCTACAGATGCAGGTGTGTGCCCCAGGAGGGAGTTCACCATAGGGGCTGCAGCTCCAGGTCCTTAGCCCAGGGCCCTGCCAGGGGTTGGGCACTTGCTCAGCCCAGCATTGTACCAGGCCAGTATGTCAACTAGCTTCCACCAGGCCCTGAGGGTGTTCTCAGAGCCAGACTTGGGTCCCTTAGGGGCCAAGTGGTCATCCTCTGGCAGGGCCCCAGGAGGGGGGTCCTTGCTGGACCCGTAGTTGGCTCCTCACTTGTTCCACTGTGCCCTGACTGGATAACACATGTTGTCTCACCCAACAGGGAGAATCCAAGAAGGTGTCTCCTGGGCTGTAGCAACGATAGCATCAAAACGCCAGCCAGGACCCAGGGGCCTCCAGGGGGAGCAAGCCCAGCCCACCTCTGGGGGGAGGGGGACAGCCCTGCCGGAGTGGGCGGGCCCTGCTCACCTGGTGCTCACTGAGCTAGGCTCATGGAGCGGTAGACAAGAGCAAGCTCTCCACTTCTGACCTGGACACAAGACAGTGACGACCTCACGGGGCAGCTGGTGACAGATGCCACAGGAGAGAGGCCAAAAAGCAGAGCGTCTGCTGTCACCCCAACAAACAGGTTTGCTGGCCAGCAGGGCAAAAGGAACAGATGGCACTCAAAAAAGCAGGGGTGCTGGGAAGAGGGGGACCACCCAGCGTGCGTCCAGGGAGCATGTCCCCTCGGCCAGAGAGGAGAGCATGAAGAGAGGAGAGGGGAACAGGGACTCGGTGCCAGGACAAGGCTCTGCTCCTTAACCTGAAAGCTGCACCTCCTCGGCCTCCCGAGGACAAAGTGGACGATTCAGTAAACACCTCTGGATGCTGTGGGTGGCCCCTGAGTCCTGAGCATGGGCGTGCTGGCAGAGGATGGATCCTGGACGCAGTGCAGAGCAGCAGGGGCTGGGGGAGGGATGGGCCATCAAAGCCACCTGGACCCAGGCATGCAGGCTACAGGAAGTGTACCCTATTATGCCAATGCTGACAGCCATGGGCTCCCATGGGTGCGCAGGATCTGCTGTTTAACAGCTGGGTGCTGAAGGACAGGAAGCCCAACCTTCCGAGACTTCGTTTCCTTAGCTGTAGAAAGGGGAGAACAGTAGCACCTGCCCCCAGGTTTCACCACGTGGCCGCGTGCAGGTGCTTCCGGCCATCAGTACTGGTGGGAAAGCCAGGTCGGCCCTTCAGGGAGGGGACCTTCTCCTGTGGATCCCCCGGCCAGCGTTCCCTCCATGTCCCTCCACCTCTATGCTGGGCCCGCAAACACCCACAAGGTCAAGTCACTTTCCAAAAACAATTCTCCTTATGTGTCCTCCAGAGGGTCACTCAAAACCCGTGCAGTGGCCAAAGCCACCGTTCCTCTGTCGAGGTGTTTTCCTCCCTGGAAGGAGAAAGGTTCAGTCTCTGCGAGGCTGGTCTTGCTCCCGAATTGTGACAGTGGCCAATTTATGATCCCAGACAAATGCCGTGCTCTGTGAGCATATCAGCACATCCCGAGAAGGGCTGGTCCTTAGCACAACCAACAGGTCCCAAGGCCACCCCACGGCATCCCTCGTGCTGCTGGAGTGAAGAGCCTTGCCAGACCCTCCTAGCTCCCCTCACCAGCTTGCCCAGCACACCCAGCTCTGCACAGAGGCCCCCGACTCTGGCCCTGGGGAGAGGGAAAGCTGTGCCTGGCCGCCTGACAACAGCCGAAGCACAAGACACGGGAGCACGCAACCCAGTCCAAAAGCAGCCACACTGCACACAAATGAGGCGGGGCAAAGCACCTTGCACCTCATGTATAAAATGACTGGTTTCAATCAGCTCGTTCTGTAAGCCCTCCCAGCTTCCAGAAATAGGGCAGGAACTGGGACACTAGAGATGTGGGTTGTCAGGGACCCTTCGAGTTGGGGGCTCCTGCTCCTTCGATCCCGACTGCCTCCCCTGGAGACCGCCCCCTCCTAAGCCTACCAGTCTGGCTCATCCTGCAGACACAGCTGGTGTTCCTCCTACCCCTTCTCCTCCGAGAAGCCTGTGACTCAGTCACCCTCACTTCTTTTACTCCTGGGTGAGAACTGGTGCATGGTGGTGGTGAAGGAAGGACATTCAGACTGCCCAGGTTTACACCCCAGCTCCTCCACTCGCTGCCAAGTGACCGCAGGCAAGTGCCTTGGCTTCTTCCACCTAAAATCTGAGCTTCACACCTCTCTCGCTGAAGTTACACCCACCGGGTCCTCAGAATGTTCTTACAACCACAACCTTTTTTCCCTGTCGCCTGGGAAGGGGGATCAGATCGGGAGATAGTCCAGCTGCTGCAGTCCCTGCTGAAGCAAGAGCTGTATGTAAGCCCTGGCTAGGGAGGTCCATGACAGGCTGCTCTGAATGGGGTCGTCATGATCCCTGAGTGTGGGCTAGGGCTGGGGGCCGCCCCGAACCAGCTCAGCCGCAGCACCGGCCCATCTTAAACACTCCTGAAGTGCGCCAGGCTTTCCCCAGGGGTTAGGGGCGCGGGCTCCAGGGTCAGACCACTTCAGATGATACCCTCACTCCTGCAATCAATAAGAGTTGACTTAGTTCTCTTGTCCCTCAGCTTCTCTAGGGAGAGCAGGGGCTGTGGTTCTGCAATGGGCTAATGCGAGATTAGGGCGCCCGAGGCAGTGTAGCAGCCCAGAAAGTGCCCCCGACATCAGGCCACCCCAACGTGCTCTCGAGGACCAGGGAGCGGGGCTGGGTGTGATCAGTCAGCGCGGTCTGATCGCCGGGGATTCTCCCGCAGGGTTTGGGGGAGGCTGCAGCTCCTCCGCCAGCACAGGTCTCGGTGGGGAAGGAAGTTTGTAACCCACGTGCTGGCTGGTCTCGCCCGCCCCGCAGTCCCGGAGTCCCCAGCCCACTCCTCAGCCGCTTCCGGACACGGATCCCAAACGCCGTCCTCTTCTGCGGGCTGGGGCGTGCAGAGCGGGTCCTAGCACGTGGGCACGCAGGCCCGGCCCCCATCGCAATGCCGCGACCTCGCCGGGCACCGGGCACCGGCAGGGAGGCGCGGTGCGGCCCCAGAAGCCGCCGAGCGGGAAGGCCGCGGGCGGCGGGCGCGGGGACGCGGGGACGCAGGGCCGAGGCCGCGCGGGCCGCGCGCACTCACCTCCGCGCGATCCGGTAGAGCAGCACGCCGGCCGCGGCGCACGCCGTGACCCCCAGGCCGCCGGCCAAGCCGGCGGTGGGGCAGCGGGCCAGCAGCGCACTCACTCCCTCCATGGCTCCCCGCGCGGCCGGCGGGGCGGCGGGCGGGCAGCGGGCAGCAGGCGGCGGCGCGGAGGAGGGCCGCAAGCGGATCAGGGCGGCGGCGGCGCGCACCTCCTCGCGCCGTGACCTTCGTCGCTTTGTAGCCGGCGCGGGCCCACCCCCTGACTCGGCGCGCTCCCGCCGCGCAGCCAATGAGGGAGTGGGGCGAGCCCGGTGGGCGGGGCTCTGGGGGAGCGGCGGCGGCCCACTGCGCCCCCTCGCGGCTGGAGGTGGGAGGCGGCACGGAGCCCTGGCCGGCGTGGTCCGCTCCCGCGCTCCTCAGGCCCCTCCCAAAGCCTGCCAACCTCAGCATCTGCGCTGCTAGGACTGCTTCGTCTTCGCTCCTGCTGCTCCCGTTTCCCGGCGCCTCAGCCCAACCCGGCCGGCCGATGCGCGCAAGGCTTGTTGGCTGCAAGGCGCAGCTCCTTAAGCCACTTGCACTGAAGCCACTCCCGTGGTCAAAAAAAATTTATAGAGACATGATTATGTCTATAGAAACGGACAGGGACGAAGCTGAATCAATCAAAGGACAGCCACACATCTGAACGTGAACATAATGCAACTATTAGAATGTCAGAGCTATTGGCCTGGAGGGATGAATAACACACTGTCCAGCAACAGCAACATGCACATTAATTTTAATAATTTCAGAAGTTTAACTAAATAAACCCCTATAATGTAATGTGTATGCTTATAGGAAGTAGAAGATGGTTAAATGAACTGCTAAGTTACTTCCAGGAGGTGGGATTAGCAGGAAAGATTCATATTTTATGTGTTTTAGTATTATGCATTTGGCTAAATTACTTTTCTAACTAAAAAGAAGTGAGTAGGAAATATTTATATTTAATCACACAATGTTTCCGTATTCCCACAACTTTTCCAGTGTTTTCGGGGGTCACCAGCCTGGTTTCCTGTGGCCAGTTAACCTGCCCCACACCCTACTGGTGTGCAGAGAAAGCTCATTCTTGCAAGTCGGCGTCAGAGAGAAGGCCTGTGGTCTGCAGTCTTGCTTTCACCAGCGCAGCACGCAAAGGAACGGGCAGCGGTGAAGCTGCCCTCTCAACACGCAGCTTCCTGTTGAAGTGCCGTTCTCTCTCCACGGAAGACTGTCTGCACGGTATCCCACTCACAGGCAGGGCTATCCCGGGCATGAGTGGTTCCATGGAGCTCTTAGGCAATAGGGCGTAGACACACAATCCTTAAGTGAGCTGAATGGAAGCTTTGCTGGAACTTGGCTTCAGTCAGATCATTCCACAGGCTCAGATGCCCTGATACTTTTCATTCTTCTACGGGACAAGCAGTACAGACCGGCTTCTGGACGGCTGTTTACTTACCATCTCTGACACCTCAAGCCTGTCGTAGAAAACTCTGAGCCTCTTTGTATGTAAAATGTGGCCAATGATACTACTTGCCTCACCAGGTTGTCAGCATTAACTCCAATGAGAAAACACACCACCTTGCACAGTGCTTGGCACACACTGGGTAAGCATAAGGGGTTTTTAAGTCTCTTGTATATAATACTTAAAATAATTTATATTACTTAAAAATGATAAAATCTCAATGACTAAGCTTGTGGAGAAGAGAAAAATCATGGGACTTCTCCATGAACAGCTCAGACAGTGACATTACCCATTTAAAAATCAACAAGTGCCTGGCTAGTATGGCTCAACGGTTGAGTGTCAACCCATGCACCAAGAGGTTGCCAGTTTGATCACTGGTCAGGGCACAAGCCCAGGTTGCAGGCTCGATCCTCAGTAGGGGGCATGCAGGAGGCAGCTAATCAATATTCTCTCATTGATGTTTCTCTTTCTCTCCTTCTCCCTTCCTCTCTCTCTAAAAAAAATCCAGCAAGCTCCTTTATAGAGAAAGCATCGCCTTTTCCTGCTTGTTCCCATCCTACCCCTGGGCCCACGTTTCTTGTGTTTGAGCACCCTGGTGCAGGCAAGCAAGCAGAGAACTAACTGGTACTAGGTCAACATCACATTTATTAATTCAAGAATGTGTAACTGAAAATTATTTTGAAATAACTATTTTACCTAATCAGTGAATATTAAGCAACCTGATTTTTAATCTTCATATTAGGTAAAATCTTGAGGAAAAATTAAGGTTTTAAACAGAAGGATGGTGATAGGTGCCACTATCAAACAGTCACTAAAATGAGGTTCTGGAATAGAAATATTTTTATTGTCCCACATTTTGGAAGCCCTGAGGCTTGACTGAAGCCATTTATTTTGACTTCTACCTAGCTGTTGACAGTTGAAGCAGGTTCTAGTAGAGAGCTCAACACCACCAACCAACTCCCTTTATGACTCAAGGGAAACAAATAAAACTCAATTTCAATACAGTTGGAAAACATCCTCTCACCGCTACCAGAGTAGCTGAACTGAACCGGAAACTCCATGCATTGGTTATCAGAGTTGTGTCCTTCCAGATATTCAGACTGAACAAGAACCCAGTGTACATATGAGTACAGCCGAGAGAGCTGATGGGAGATGATCTGTCTTACCTGCCTTCTGTCTTAGCATTTTGTCCCTTATTAAATTTCCTCTTCAGATGGTAGGGTGGGTTTATAATTTTGGTAATTTCTCGTTTCTAGGATTAAAAAAAATTTTTTTGAACTCGGGTATTTAAACACCAACACCACTTCCAGTCAGAATAAAATCGAGCTCTGCAAGGAGCCGGCCATCAACCTGTGTCACCGACAGACAGTAGGGACTAACAGGGCTCCCGGCCTGAGGAAATGTCACTCACCACATTCCACGTCCACAGCCGGCCACTCGGGTGGCTGCACTCTGACTTAGCTACAAAGTACGTTGTCTCGACTCGGCCTAACTTCAGGAAATACAGCCAGGAGCAAGGCTGCTGGTAAACAGTTTAAGACTCTCGCCTTTGGTTCAAACTGGGGATGGAGGATAACAACTTCAGGAAAACCTACATAGCTTAAAAATACTTAATGTCAGGAGTTGTATGTTTTGTTTCTTTTAACTCAACAGCCTGAAAGCTTGCAGTATCAATCTGTATGAGACTTGGAAATGTACAGAGGAGGAAAATAGCTGGGAAGTCTGTCTTGGTCTGCCCAGAGCCACCAGAATGTGACACCTCCTACTGTCCCGTGTGAGATCTGACATTCAGATTAGAAAACAAGTGTACTTTGACTTGAGAGGTTTTCTCTGTGTTTCTAAGGTTATGTTTCACTCAAGACCTGTAGTTTACAGTAAGTAAACATGAAAGAGGACAAAACCCAAATTTATACTTAAATTAAATAGCATGATTTAATTTACTTGCCGCTTAATCCCGAATACTCTTAAGTTAAAAAAAAAACCAACACAAAAGTTAATAATTAACTATTAACGTTAATGAATTTAAACCTTCCAGAAAACATGAATCCAAAAGGAAATGTCCAACAGGTGACATGAGCCATATATTTTACGGCCTTTCCTGTTTAGGTCTCCAACATTCTAAACATCAATGGAAAAGAAATTCTCTGTGGAGTTTTTCAGTTTTATTCTTCTAGAGCGCAGTTGTCTGGCCTGTTACTGAGGACGGTCCTCCAACAGGTACACAATCAGCTCGTAGGTGGACAGCACGATGGCAGTATTCGGGATCTGCCGGACGAGCTGGGCAAAGAGTCCTCTGTAGAAGGCCAGGTAGCCCTCCTCCCGGAAGACCAGCCGAGCGGTCTGCACAAAAGACTTGTACTTGGTGCCCTCCTCCCGGAGCCGTGTCCTTATGACTTCTGCAGAGAGAAACACATACTTGAGGTGACAAATCACTGCATTTCCAGACAGTCTGAGGAGAGACTTCAAAGCACACGTCACAATCGTCAACGTACACCCCCCCCACTTGCCACCTTGGCTGTTTGGACGGGGTCGCACAAAGACGAGGGACAGGAAGATTGGCTCGGAGCATTTCCTGACTCTGGGAAACGGTCAGTTAGGGATAGACACACAAAAGCACAAAATCACTTTGAAAGGATTTTAAAAAGCTTAGTTTGGCCCTGGCTGAGTAGCCCAGTTGGTTTGGGTGTTGTCCCGATATCAAGGTTTTGGGTTCGATCCCAGTCAGAGCACACACAGGAAGCAACCAATGATGCATAAATAAGTGGACCAACAAACTGATGTCCCCCACACCCCCCTTCCTCTATCTAAAAAAAAAATAAAAAGAAATCAAAGAAACGAAAAAGCTTAGTTTGCCCTGGCCGGTTTGGCTCGCAGTAAGAGCATCAGCCTGCAGACCAATGAGTCGCAGGTTTGATTCCGGCCAAGGTGGGCACGTACCTCGGTTGTGGTTTGTCCCCGGCCCTGGTCGGGGTCATGCAGGGGTCTCTCACATTGATGTTTCTCTCTCTCTCCCCCTCCCACTCTATCTGAAGATAAATAGAATATCCTCAGATGAAAATTAAAAAGAAAAAAAGCTGTTTGAATGGGACTTAATTTTAAGATAGTTTACGCTGTAATTTCACCAAAGGTGGAATTTGTATTAAGTATGGGAATATCTTCCATAAGACTTTCTTTTCATGTACTCCCAACTTTCTCTTCCTGGAACCTTCTCCACTCTGTCCAGCTTAAGGCTGCTGCCTTCTTTTCCAAACCTTGTCCCACCTGGCTCTCCCTCGCCTAGCGCCCACAGCCCACTCCCTATCGCCTCCTGGCAAGCAGACCCCTTCACAAGCTGGCTCCCTGCCAGGGAGCCACACACCCTCTTCCCCACGAGCCCGGAGCACACACCGCAACCCAGAGACCTGTTACTGGGTTCCCCACGAGCCCGGAGCACACACCGCGACCCAGAGACCTGTTACTGGGTTCCCCACACACACTGGTCATAGCTGACATATAGTTTCTGAAAACAAAGCCTGTTTCTCAAGGCACAAGAAGCAAAGCAATTTTTCTTAATAGTAGGTCAGAAGTACATTAGGCATATAATTTAAAAATAAACTCCAAAGTAGTTTTACTCAGCACTCCATTCAAAGTGGAAGCTG